ATTTGATTCCTGGCTGGTAGATCTTAGCTCAACCTTAACAAGAGAGGGGTGCAATGTGTAAATAGTGCTTCTTCCCTTTAGTACAGCTGCTTTTTGGGTAGAAAAATTGTTTTAGAAAAAGACTGGTTTCTCATCAAATGGGAGTGTTCTCCATCCTGCCCAAGAACATCTCCTAGAAGGATTTGTGCTAAGTTCTTTCAAGTTCAGAAAGGTACCATGCCTGTGCCCGCTTAGTGTCTGAAAATGTGTGGATGAAAATTTGGTGTTAGGTGTGAGGTTGAGCTTATTCTTGATATTTTTACTCTGAGACTTTGAAGTATGCTAATTTTCAGAACACAAGCTGGTTACATTTCACATAAAACTGTTACATTGTCATCTTGTAACTGTTGAGCTTTAAAGATGCATACTGAAGGATTGTGACGGTTTAAGAAAAAAAACCTTTAAAATATTTGTGAATTTTTGCATAGTCCCTTCATGTACAGAGTTCTAGTCATTGAGATGTAGCTTTAATGAGAAAATTCTACATACTGTCCAATATGACCTTGCTCATAATTCTGGTGGATTGTGGTGCTAATCTTCATAAGTCTGCACACTGCAGGTACGTGAAGATCATGTGAGTGTGGCACCTGTGATGATGGTTAGGCTGTTTTGTGAAAACTTCCTCTAAAGCCATGTCTCGCAGGTCATCTTACCATCCATTGTGGATGAGTCACGTGCGACAGTGTCTGATGGGTTGGGAGTGCCGAAGCCCTCACAGGTGGGCGGCCCAACCCTACCAGATTGTGAACAGTTGAACCTTCTTGCTAGCTTAGAAAACAGACTTGAGTTTGTGCTTAACACCGAAAACTCCAAATGGAGGAGGTGGATCTAGAAGAGAATATTGTGCACCACCCTCCTTTTTTTTTAAGTAGAGGAAAAATGAACGCAATTTTTGAAGAATTTTTAATGCACCCCAAAACAAATAAGTATGCATTAGTTATGAATCCCTCTCCTATGTTCAAGTGCTTAACGCTTAAGATTTCTTTTCCCCTTTTTAAAAAAGACTGGCAATTATCTTTTGATACTTAAAATTATCTATGATATTTTTAAAGTTCTAATGATTTTTATGGTCATACCTTTTTTATTCTAAGAACTACTGTGGTTTTAATCATGTTTCTAATTCTTGGGACAAAATTCAAGATAGTGAGATGGTTCAAAAATTACCTTTCATGTTGGAAAATGTCTAAAAATGTTTGAGAATCAAGTGAAATTTTAAAAATGCTGCATAAATCTTTTTAAATTTTTAAGTTTTTAATTACAACAATTTGTCCTAAACATATATTTTGTTTTTTAGTGTTACTTTTACCTGAAAATTAGAAATCGAATATTAAAGTAATAATGTCTAGCACTCTATAAGACCTGAGTGATTAAGAAGAAAATATGAATCTATTCTTCTGACTACTCTTGTTCAGAAGGTGTCTGAATATGTCACTCCTGGTGGTTTACTCACTTACCCCATAAAATTCCTTAGTACTTTCATGCCTTCTTTTTTTTTTTTTTTTTTT